CTCCTGTACGGCACTGAGTATGCCCTGGTGTCTATTAGATATGACACCTACCTCCCTATGAGGGCCAACGACATGGATCCTAACAAGCCGCAAGAATCATCCCCAGCTATCTTTGTTCTCCCTCTCCACCAAAGCGAAAGCCCAAGGAACCAATGCGTTGTCTGCGTCACACGAAATGGCTACCAAAAGTGTGCCCATGTACTTGCCAAGCAGAAAAGTACCATCAATGGATAACACTAGACGGTAGTGCCTGAAGGCTTCGACACACTGGGGAAAGCACTAGAATGCACGAAAGAATATCTGCCTCCCATCCTTCCATTCATTCGGCTTCGGGATATACTCGTAATGCATGCCTGGATTTGCTATTTTCATTGCATTGAACATTACAGGCAACTGCTCGTACCCATCCTCCCAGTCCCCATATATCATCTTCCAGGCCCGTTGCTTTGCCCTCCATGCTTTCCCATACTTTATGTCATACTTAAATATCTCCTTACTCATCTCCATAATTGTCCTGACCTTCAAGTTGGGCTGACCCTTCAAAGTTGTGTATAACTTTCTGGCAATGAGGGTAGAGGTCAATTGTCTATGCTTATGTTTTAGATCTATCTGGGCACAAGTGTGTGGACCTACAATTTTGGTGATCTTGAATTTCCCTGTGGCCTTCTGTTTGCGAGCACAGACCCTCCAATTGCAATCTACCATCTCGCACACCACCGTGTAATGGCGCTCCACATGGGAGCGCCTCACCTTGAATGGTCTCTTACGTCTCATAGAATATTCCTGTAGCCACCTTCTTAAGGTGGGCAAGTCCTTGAAGACCATGCCCAACTGAATTTCCACGCTGCCATCGGCCTCAGGAGCCTCTAGCGGCTCGTCGTCTCTTCCTTCTCCATAAGCATGTTGAGAATGACTAAGGTCGCTGAATTCATGAACCAGTGGATCACGATCAAGACACAAGCGTCTGATGAGCTCCATTTCTTGTTCGCTCAAAGCTGCAACTGGGCGGTTATCATCAGAATCAACGGCCCTTGCTGTGCTATAAGGCTCCTCATCATCCGCAATATCAACATCTACACTGTTAGAGGCCATAAACCCTGGGTCCACGTTGGTTGATGGAGGAATAGGAGCACAACCATCATTATCAGGATTGTCTCCTGCATTTAAAGCATAAATATGGATACCACTGAGACAAAGGAATGGAATGAACAAAGAATAAGGAAAGCCAAAGTGTTACTAAATCACTTACTAGGATGATTCTGGGTCAAAGGGATCTCCTGAGGGGCACCTACAACATCATCAGTCCCACATTCTGCACGGACACTAGAACATACACCAACCTCATTGAGGGTGGATTGAGCATCGGGCACCACAACCGCATCTTCCACATCCACCTCACGGTTGGGTAACAGAGGCTCAGATGGTGCTAGATTCTCTGGTGCTGGCGACAACCCATGAAGGGGTGAATGAACATTAGGGGGTGAATACCCATGAGGGGTGGGATCATTGGACAACTTCCGCACAACCAAATTCAAACATTGAAACTCATTCTTCATGACAGTTTTGACATATTTGTCCCATTGAGCCTCTGATGCAATTGGGACCAACTGCCTCAAATTTGTCCCTGACCTACCATGGTGAAGTACCCCCTCAACCAAGATGGCATCTTCATTTGAATTGCATTTAAGCTCATCACAAGCCCTACCAAACAACTCACAAAACAATGGTCGATCATCGAATATCGCTGGCACCCTTTGCATTCCAACAAAGCTGACATTACCAAACTCATCTTCATCCACACTTCCTCCATGATACAAGGTGACTACATTGTCCATCTAGTTGGTATGCACATCAACCAAGTTATTACGGATATATTATTATAAGATAACTAACCATAATATCTAGCTACATTTGCTAACTAAATTACCTAACTATCTACCTAAACAAATAAGTATCTAACTGTCTAATTATCTCTATAACAAGATAAGAGATTTGGTAACTACATTTACTAACTAGCTAACTAAATTAATAGGTAACTAACTCCCTAATTATGTCTCTAACAATCTAATCTAACTAAATAAGCTACATACATATATTCCTAAGTATATAATATAACTAAATAAATAAGCATCTAAGTATGTAATTAAATAAGCATCTCAGAATCAAACTTGCTTGACCAAAACAAACATTCAGGCACCAAAGAAATTTGAATAGCATGCATACTGGAACAATAAAGTAGGTCACAGTAGCACTCTCTAGATTTTGTTTGACTACTAACAATTCTCATTAGAAAGTAGTAACTAAATAATAGATTTGAACTCTTGTACTGTCGATATCAGGCAAGAGGACTGCAAAAGTTAGGCAAGAGGCCATTACCTAGGGCGACGATGCGGCCGCTGGAGGGGCAGGGGGCGCAGGGCCGGGAGGCCCGCCGGCCGACGGGAGCTCCGGTGAGTGGTGGCGGGCCGCCCTCAACACCGGACAGCGAGGAGGAGGAGGAAAGATGCGACGAGGTGGCTGGGAATGGCACGGCGATGGGGAATGGCCTGCTGCGGTGGACGGCGGGCGGTTACGCGAGGTCCGAGGCGGCGTCGAGGGCCGGTGCGGCAGCAGCTCCTGCGTCGAGGGCACTGGAGTGCTCGGCGGAAGCGGCTCTGGCTCGGACGCCTGACTCGGAAGAAGAACCGGCAGCGGCAGCAGCTCCGACGTCGGGGTAGCCGCCTGACTCGGACGCCAGCGGTGACGCCGGGGAGGCAGGGGGGCGCCCTGCTGCGGCGTGCAAGGTCTCTGGGGGCGAGGGCGGGTGAGGGAACGGATGGGGGAGTGAGGGAGGCAACCGCAAAGATGGCCTTGGCGAAGCCACGAGCAAAGCGCGGGCGACGCGGCCGGGACGGGGCGGCAATGAGAGGGAGAGGAGAGATAGGGCGCAGAGAGGAAGAAAGAGAGAGCTACGGCGGCCACAGACTTGAATCGATGCTCGACGCCAGAACACATGGCGCCGAGCTCGGCGCCAAGATCTGTGGCGCCGAGGTACAGGCTACGTGAACGCCACCTTGGATGCCCTGCTGTGCACGGCCAGGCACCTCGGCGTCAAGATCTGTGGCGCCGAGACGTGTTACCTCGGCACCATGAGTCCTGGCGCTGACTCCCAGGGTCTAAAGATGAGTTTAAGTCTCCTAGGAGGCCAAACGTAATTTTTTTAAAAAGGGCTAAATTGTAAAAAATTAAGGTGGTTTGCTCGCTCCAGCTTTCTAGTCACATAAGTTCAGGGACTGATGGTTAGTTTCAGAATTAAGAAGGCGTTAGTCCTGATGGTTAGTTTCAGAATTAAGAAGGCGTCAGTCCTGATGGTTAGTTTCAGAATTAAGAATGACTGCCAATTTTACAGAAACCAGGGGGAAAAAACTACTACTAAGAACAATTTTCTATTAAGAGAACCAATTTAACTACCTGTCGTCTCTGTTAGTAATATAAGTGTACTTGATTAGTTGATTACCAAAACCTTGGAGAGCATGCACGTACCGATCTCACCAAAAACTCGGTAGGTAGCGAATAGTCCATGGGTGCACGTAGTACAGGCGACGCATTCAGTTGGGCGTACCCTGGCCGGGGAAAAGGGAAAGGCATCTCGAACCTTTTCGAATCCATGGTCATAATTCCGACGTCGTGCACGATAACTTACTCGACCTGTAGCTCTGTCGTACCTGGCATTTTGTGTGTGGTCGTAAATCGTAGCATAGGAGTGTAGACCTGAAGTATGATGAATTGGGCTGCCTATGCCTCGAGATCGCGGCTGGCTGTCGTAAAACGTGACGTCGAGTGGTTTCTACGATAAGGAGTAGATGAGCTTATGAGGTCCCCGCGTACCTGGCTTTTCCATGTGGATGTGGACATGGACATTCAGGACTCAGGAGCATCACTGCCTCATGGCCCGGAATGCACGGTGAGACGGTTTTTGTGTTTATATGGATTGATGAATGCTCGTGTAAACATTTGTCTACCGTCGGGGTAAAAGATCATCATCATACGGCTAAAGACGAGGAACACAACCAAACAAGAGCGAGAGACGCCGGATTGCGGCCCATTGTCTTTCTGCATACAGCAGGGCCGAAAACATTTGGATTGATGCGCTCGGCCCAAATACACACGACACCGTCTCTCCAACGCGGCATCAGCGTCGCCCGCCTCGCCATGAGACCCTAGCGTCCTGGAACACAGCGGGCACCTGAACCTGACTTCCTTCTAGTTCTAGCCCACCACTATCAGTAATCACGATGGGGATGCAGCGCGCAAGGAGCATAAATCGTGGAGTATCTCAGATGAGTAGATGACAAAGCACAGGAAGGTTATTCTGGCACAAAATAGTTACAGAGGTTCAGTGTCCAGATACGTGTGATTCTCCTACTCATCTCCCATTGCTATATGCGGCCTAACAAGAACTTTACATTCATGACGGCTACTTCTTTTTACCAATGTTGCATCCATCTACAAACATACACACGACCGAAGAACAATCTCCTGACAAGGGAAGATTGTGCTTCACAAATAATATTACAGAACGAAAACAGAAGAGGTATAAGTGTATCCTGTTAGGCTGTTACCCAGACTGTACAACCTGGCAGCTCACTGCCGAACATCGTAGCCGACGCAGGTCCTTGCACGCAGCGGTAGAGCTGGAGGACGAGCACCAATTGCATCTGTTCGACGCACAGACGGCAAAGCTCCGTCCAAATCACTCATCTGCTGAGGAACTGAAGGATGAATATGTATGTTCCATTCCATCCACGCCACAAGGAGTCCGGCAAGTCTGCATCTTTCTTTTTGTCTTTTTCATTCATCCCACTCTTCTTAACCTTTTTTTTCCGTATTTCAATTGCAGGCTCTGATGCATGCGATTGTTGTGCTCTCCAGTGATCTTGCCTGTAGCGCAACCTACAACAGATGAGCAGTTGAAGATTGCTAGGCTGACACTGGACAATAACAACCGTCACATTCAAGGCTCAGTAGCTTCTAGTTTGGCTTAGTGGATCGTAGTCATACGCTTCACCAGCCTTTATAAACCGTCCCTTGACCCTCTTCCTCACGTCTGCCCTAGCCTTGCGAGAGGCATATCTGATCTTCTTGTCAAACCTGTAGATCAAATTCATGAAAAGAAAGATCAGTTAGCAACTTTTGCAAGGAAATACAAAACTGAAACTAGAAATAAGAGAACCAGAAGGTGGGAGACATTTTCTTAAGAAGATAGCCACAATAATGAATGTTAAGCACAGAATAACCACAAGTAGACATTTAGATTGCTTACTTTCTTCTCTTTTTCTTCTCCTTGTATCGTGTGAGAGCGCTATCTCTGCTGCCTCCAGCAACTGAGCCTTCAGGACCAGGAGAATGCCAAGGAGGCTCACCCATGAGGAGCATTGGTGACACCCCACAATCTTGGTGATCTCCAGCGCTGCTCTCACCAGTCAAACCAGATAAGGAATGGGATATACTAGATCTGACCTGCCTAATAGGAATGCAAAGGCTGGAATCTGCCCTTGCCCCTGGGTTTGACATCCCACAATCAGCTGATACTACATTGCTACATTCTAGCTGCATAGTTTTGGGCTGCTGAAAACATAAAAAAATGTCCCAGAAATTTAGTAAAGCAAAAGCACTTGACCTATTTGTGTCTATAATAGTAATTACTGAGTTTAAAAAAACAGAGTATTCTATGGATGGAAAATAAACTTAATACTTTAAATGCCAAAATGTCCTGAACTCAGACTTGATGAATGAAATTAACAGAAACAATAAATAACAACTGAGGTAAGAAAATAAACTGACCCTGGCTAACTAGGAGTAGATTGGGGAAGTAAGCACAGGAGCTCTCTTTCCCACAGGAAAAATTCAAATGAAAATATATACTTTGGCCATCCGGATATGACAGTTATGTGCATTGACAGTGTAAGATACATGTTACCTAAAGTAATTTCATAGCATTTAGTTAGCTTTGTTTGAAATGTCAAATTTCCATAGAAATTCCTTGCCGAATTGCCACCTTCTGGACTATGTTGATGTCCTAAATGTCACATATTTAGAATCATAGAGAGTATACAAGAAAAGTACGTACCTCGTTGAAAAAAGCTGGTGTTTCCTTTGTTTCAAAGTAACTGTCAATTACAGCGTCATCAAAGAGTTCCTCTGTTCGAATGTGAGAGGTACCAAATAGCTCTTCGTAGTTCTCAAATGTCAGGTCAGCATCATCCACACATAAGTCTTCATACATGCCATCATTGAACTTATCGTCATCTCTGGCATAAGGTACCTGAGAGATGTAACCAGCATCTGATAAGAATACAACAATAACAGATCGTATTTTTCTTAAAAAAGGACTGATGATAAACAAGATCTGAAATTCTGAACCGATGCAACCTGCAACTGTCCACTGACGTAAATGTATCTAATAACTTGTTACAGAAATGGAATTTTCATTGTAAAGAGAAGCTACTAGAGCACTGAGAGCCCAGCAGGGAAAAAAAGAGACAGACAACGTTAAATAGAGACAAATGGATCATCACTAAGAAATAATTTTTGTGTACTATTTTCCTGAAGATCAGCAGTAAATGATGTGCTGCTGCAAGACTGAAACATTAACCAAGCTACATGACTATTATTATGATATATTCATATGAGAACATTCTTTATTTTATATGTTTAAGTAACTTGCATGCCATAAGAAACAAGTCTTTTGACATGCAAAAACAAAGCACAATGTTCAGAAACATTCTTGGAGGAAAATATGAAAGGCACATAGCACCTTAGGCGTCACTGAAACTGGTCCAGCAGGCTGATCTGTGGCTAGAGGCAGAACATCAAACCCATCTCCGAAAGAAGAGCCTATCAGAGGTTTAAGCTTGTCGGCTGAAGGTGGATCGCTCATGAGTGTTGTGTTAGCTATTTCCAACAGTCTTTTATCATCTGAAGCACCATGATGATTCGTCACATCACTGTCATCAATTGTCATCATGCTTAGTCCATCCTCACAGTTGGGCTCAGCAGCTACAGTCGGGATATCCATAATAAATGACCAGATTCTCGAAAGCTCTGCTGATGAGGGGCACCCTGAGTAACAGTTTATGGCCTGCCTTTTATGCCCAGAAGCCCCTGATGCTGCATCGTGCCCATTCCAATCACAGTTTTGGCAAAGTGATGCGTTGTCCTGAAGACATCGGACTGATGCAGGCTGTGAACCACAACGATCACAAAGAAGGGTCCTTGTATGACGCCGAGACAGCGCATTAGCTGAATGAACATTACGGTCGCATGATAAGCACAACGATGCCGCATCTGATCTGCAGTAGATCATTGACCTTTGTTTCCCACAGAAATCACAAAGAGAAGCCATGATCCTGGATTGTATTGAGAAATTCCACTTGCTGTTCAGTGCTGCTACCAAATCCACCTTCCGGTGCCCTGTTCAGCAGCTGAATCCCGTGGAACCCTATGTGATACTGGCATATAGAAGTAAACAGTCAGTAACAATACAGCAAACATATAGCTATTTCTGACTGTTTCGCACAGACAAAATTGGGGTATTGAGAAAAACTTGGCAACTTTTCCCAGGCCATGCAAACAGACACCTGTTCTGTTCCACATCAGCAAACATATGCATCTACTTACATCCTGCCCGAGCTATTGACAATCTTAGGATAACACAGAACCACTCCCTGATTTAGCTAATAGGACGCTTCCCCTCACAGAAAACTTGAGATTTAGATATTCTTCCTAGATCTGCCGGCCAGGGCATTAGATAACTAGAAGTTTCAAAACAGAAGTACAGACATGTAACCTAGGGGGACATCCACCCAGAACAAACTGTAATTTTTTCCCCTAAGAAACAGAACAAACTGTAATATGAGACTATGCTATTGGCAAAGCATATAATCTCTGTAAAGCATAGGGGGGAGTAAATTGAAAAGACCTTCAAATAGAGTGACCATAATGCATTTGGTACCACCAAAAGATAGAGTGAATAGTCAACTTGGAGCCAAAGAAACGCTGATTGCAATTGGCATTATCATGCTAGACTTGCGAGCTTAGCACAGCATATCAGCACATAGGCGTGAGAGACAAATAGGATGAAGTGCAACCAAACTTTAGCGACCTCTAGTGCAAACGGCTCCCTAGTTATCATTTTGAGTGGCATGTTCATATTTTGGCATATCCAATGGAAACTTTCCATGCACATGGCCGGTAAGCGTGTACTAGCACAGCATAAGTTGACACTTGCCAAACTTCCGTTATAACAACTACAGGTGTTAAGCACCACTAATCCTCACTTTTTCCCCCTCTATCTTGTCGCATGCGCACCTATGCCGGTTATGCGTGAAAGCCAACGGACTTTCGCCGCCACTCAAACAAACACGGCGAATTTCGCTCAAAAACAGTAAATGAATAGTTGCGGCTAAGAACAGAAAGGAAAGCCAGGTACAAGCAAAGCGCGAATATACGGTCGCTATTCATGAGTCAGTAGGCAAAAAGCAACCTTTTAAAAAAAAAAGATAAAAACCTTTCCAGATGAATTGGCTGCAGATACAAGCAAAGCCACGGTGCTCCGGTGATTAGATGGCGTTAATCAAGACTTGAGCAACTGAGTCAGCCTGCTCAAGGACAAAATCAAACAAACCAAGACAATTCACGTACGCTCTACGCAACACGGAATTAAAACGTGAAGTGTCCGCAAAGAGGAAAGAAAAAATAGAGTTCAGACTTGTCAGTCCAACACACATACACACCAAACTCCCTGGAACTGGAACACCGGCAGGCTAAGCAAGCGGACTCGAAATCGAATACTCACTCCCCGATCGAAGAAGCAACACACTCCTCATCCAAATCCAAGCTACCCGGATGGTACCGAATCCAAGCATACAGAGAACGCACAGCTCGCGATGAAATAAACAACAACCAGAAAGAACACTCACCGTATCGCGGCGGCGCTTCTCCACGGAGCTCGGATCCCACCCGCGCGGGCGCGGCCAAGGCGCGGAACCAACCACCCAACGGCGGGGCTGCGGGGGGGCAGAGATCGAGAAGCTTTCGCTGTTGCCGCGCCGGTAGAGAAAACAACCTCCTCTTCTGCGAGAGGACTAGGAGGAGGTTTCGCCAACACGTCGAGCAGTAGTCGGGTCGGGGGGTGCTAAGCGAGGCGAGGTGGGGGGAGGAGAATGGGACGGAACAGGTGGAGACTGGAGATGGGGGAGAACGCGAGGGGGAAGTGGAAGGGGATGAGGGCGGGCGGGAGAGGGGGACCCACCTCGTCGCCTATGTGGTGCGGCAGTGCGGGACCCGCGGAGAAAAGGCCGCGCTGCCGCAGTGCCCTTTTTGCGCTTTCAGGGGCAGGGCCGTCATTTGCCCCGCGCGCACAGGATAAGGGGCCGCTCCCGCGGGCGCCACGTGCGCTGCGCTTTTCGCCAAGTGGCGGTGGGCCGCGCGCCTCACCCGCCCGCCGCCGTTCTTTCCCTGGTTTTTTCACTCATTGCCGCTGACAGTTGGTGCCACGACAGCCGCCAAGCGTCGACGCCCGGCGCCGGCGGTTTGGCGGCGCCGGCGACCATGCATGATAGCGGTTCTGGAATCTGGATACGCGCACACGCACAACGTGAAAAAGGAAGCTATGCCGTATTTTTCCTTCCCTTTTCCTCCCGGACAACTAATTTTGGAATAAGAATATGAGTGAATATTGCAGTGGCATCGCAAAGATGCTAAAACGGAGATGAGAACACTGCAGCATCGGTTCAGCAGGCACCGTGGAAGATTCTTCCTAGGCCCTCTTTAGTTTCACTCCAAAATACTAAATTTTTCAAAATTTTCCGTCACGTCGAATCTTTGGACATGCATGAAGCATTAAATATAAATAAAAAATAAAACTAATTACACAGTTTAGACGAAATTCACGAGACGAATCTTTTAAACCTAATTAGACTATGATTAGACACTAATTGTCAAATAACAACGAAATTGTTACAGTAGTATTTCACCAAAAATTTTACAAACTAAACGTACCCTATCATAAAAACGAACTGTGGATGGATAACGTGAGACTTTCCAGGTCTCGCCTCGTCAGTCCCCACTCTACAATTAATTTCGCTTACAAATCTGCCCCCGACAACCTGTGACCTGTGAGCTGAGCCATATCCAGGAGGAATCAGCACGAGGGGGGGACAGAGAGAGGCCTTTATCCGGTGCGGGCCCAGTGGAGCCTCGTGTCACGGCCAGCGACCAACCAAAGTGGATCGTCGTTCGATCCGACGGCACCCAACCAAAGTCAAGAGTACGGGACCAGTACCGTGCTACCGGCGGCAGCAACCACACTGAGCGGATCAGACGATCGTGCAGCCCTTTCGATCTCGTGAGACGGCAACGCACCGCTCACACGAGTGTTGATGTGAAACGGCAATTCGGCAAAACAATGTGCGGGTGGTGGCATGGCATGTGCCTCACTGTATGTAGGACTGTATGTAGGGATGAAAACGGTACGGATATTTTTCGAGTGTATTCGAGATCGAATCGTTTAAAGGGGCTCAGATCTGTTCGTATCCGAGTCTAGATATTCAGCATCCGATACCGTATCCGTATCCAAATACTCAAATCGCATATTTATAATGTCGATATCCAATCGTATCATATCCGATATGGTTGACGCTGTCCATATTCGAATCCAATTCCAAACAAAAATATAAAAACAAATATAATATCAGTGATATCCATTCGTATCCGATCCGTTTTCACTCCGGACATGTTTGGCGACGAGACGGAAGACCAGTCAATGTGAATGGACAGCCACCGAACTCTGCGCTTTTTCTACTCCCGTGACTGCTCGTGTTTTTCGTTAAGGCCCTGTTTAATTTCTAAAAATTTCAACCCAAAATGTCAAATCGAATTTTACGACATATACATGGAGCATTAAATATAGACGAAAAAAAACTAATTATACAGTTTGGTTGGAAATCGCAAGACGAATCTTTTAAACCTAATTAGTCTATGAAAAGCCTTAAGTGCTACAGTACCTACATGTGCTAATGACCGATTAATTAGTATCATTAGATTCATCTCGTAGTTTTCTGATGGGTTCAATAATTTGTTTTTTTATTAATATCCAAAAACCTCCCGACATCCTTCCAATACATCCGATGTGACACCCAAACTTTTCTCACTCACCAAATAAACACCGCCTAAGACGAAGGCAGCAAGCGCAAAAAGGACATGCGAGATCGCAGGTATATTTCTCCAAACCGATTTGGCTTCACTTCGCCGGGTCTTTTTTTTTTCTTTACCCAATCACTTCACCACCAAATCTGGTAGTAGCTTCACCGCTCGTACAGTCGTACTCCTCTATCGGCCGCTGTTTCCCGTCGTGTTCAGCCGGGGCCGAAGAAGTTCAGTGAATCTCGCAGCGTGGATGTCGCGTCGTGCGAGGCAGGGCTCCGATTCCTGGGGGCGAAAAGGGCAGGAAGGCACACACGATAGGATCAGCAGCCCTGTGGTTTGCGACGTGGACCCACTCGATCGGTGGCACTGCGCGCAGGAGCAGCCGAGCAAGTCGACTGGGGTGTGCCCGTTTGGGAGAGCAACCTGCAACCATCAACGTGGAGATCGTTGTCAGCGTTCGTGAAAAAAAAAACGCTGTATGTGTGCGAGCTCGGCGGGGGCGGCTTGATTCGCGGTTGACGACGGGCCGTGTGTGCGATCCTCTTCAACCAGTGAGCTCTTCTCTCGTTTTGCAACTCCGTGACCCCGTCGGTTCCACGTCTTTTCACCATCCTGTATCTCTAGAGTCTTTTTCTCACCCATTGCCACACGGCACATCCGTCCATCTCTTACTCATCCACTCTCATCTACTGGCCACTTCTCATTATTCACTCTTATCATCGCTCCTTTATCATCTCTCATCCTTCTCGCTCTGAGTTTGGAGCTGCAAAACATTAGTTGCCGTCACATCACTTATGTCATGGCTTGGCCATAGGGCCGGCCTCTTGTTTTCATTTGGAGATATTTACGGCCTTAATACCAATATGTGCCTCTACTTTCTTAGCCGAATTTGTTTAAGGTTGACAAAGTATGACTATTCTAAGACACAAAAGTGTTTTGCAACCTAATCTTTAACCCTACCGCACCATAAAAATCCTTAGAAAGTAAATCGTAAACTGCAAAGAGAGTGCTAAGACAATTCAATTTTTTCATGAGATATTGAAATGTCATTACTCTAGTTCACGGGAACCATTGTTCCATATTTAGCACAAAAATATTTAATGTTCACTTAGGAATTTGTCACAAAGAAAATTGTTACTCTTTTAGGAAAATATTATTATAGATTTACGTGAAATATGTTCTTGGTTTGTGAGATTG